TCAAAACTGAAAATGCAGGCCCTTGCTCTTCCCCCTTCATAGTTGGTATTGAATTCACATTGGTTCTTGTTGTTGTTGGCGGTGGTTTGTTTTGGTTTGGGTTGGGGGTTTTGGTTGGTTTGTTCGTTTTTGGTATCGGGATTAAACCCAAGGGTGCTTGATCACTGAGTCACATTCCCAACCCCTTTTATTTATTTTTTTTTAAATTTGAGACAGGGTCTCACTTAGTTGCTGAGGCTGGCCTCAAGCTTGCAATCCTCCTGCTTCAGCCTCCCAAGTAGATGGGATTACAGGCGTGCACCACATCCAGCTCCACATTATTTTTCTAATGCTCTGAAAACCACAACTGTCAGTTCTCAGAGGGTTGGGAATGGATCTAGAATGAGTGTGGCAATGTTTTTGATCTTCTAAATGCTCTCTTGTTTGATATAACAATATTAACAACAATAATTCATTGAGAATTTACACCAGGCTCTGTGTTGAGCACTTCATTATCTCATTCAATCCTAAAACAATCTAAGAGGAAAGTATCTTAATGATTCCCACTGAGGAATAACAATGAGGAAACAATCTCAGAGTGAGACTTGCCTAAGTTAGTAAGAGCAAGAACTGTAACCAGATCTCTGCCCCAGAGCCCATCCTGCATCACACAGAGGTTAACAGGGGTCAGGGGAGTGAAGAGTCATCCTTGAAGACAGAGCCAGCTGGTACTATTGACGGGGTGCTCTGACTTCTGGCCCCAGCTTCTCTGCACCACAATGAGCACAGCTGGGTTTTCAGGTGTGTATATTATCCCAAGAGGGGTCCCCCAGGTCCATGGGCCTGTCTCTCTGTCCTTCAACTAGTCCATAACCAGGGAAGATCTCTTCTTACAAAATAATTCTAATCATGGAGGGACATAAATAAATAATGATAACAGTAAATATAGTGTCCCAAATGGATCCTGATCCCACTTTTCATTGGTTTGATTTCTGTGTGCCTGAGCCTCTTCTCAAACATGGATGCTGTAGGTCAACTACCCTTAAAGGATAATTGGGCTAGAATGAGTGGCATTGGATTCTGCTTCCAATGTAAATCCCCAGAACAGGCCTCTATGGAACATTATCTTCCAAGGTTCAGAGAATGAGCCACGTTTTCCGCCAGTGTGTGTGTGTGTGTGTGTGTGTGTGTGTGTGTGAGGGGTGGAGGGGAGACAACAGTCATCAACTATGAATTCTTCAGGCTGGGGTTAGGAACAGATGGGAGTGGACCCCTAGCGTCTTGAACAAGGCCAGGACTAGGGAAAAGCAAGAGGAGCCCAAGCTGCAAAATTTAAGGAGGACTCACTCTTAGAGTCCCACAAAGCAGCAGTGCCCCCTCAACTTATGTGCTCAGGGCCCTGACCCTGAAGTGCCCTGACTCTATCACAAATGGGAAAGTGGACAGAAGCCCCTGTCTCCTTGGCCCACCCTTGAGTTGGGGGAGGACAAGAATAGCTTCCAATTGATTCCTGCACCTAGAAATCTTGGAACCCAGAGGCTGGAATGCAACATAAATTCAGAGAAATCTGACTCACTCAAGTGTAAACCAAGGAAGAGAGCCCAGGCCATTTTCTGGTTCAATGCAATCAAAGTTCAAGAGCTGTCTGGCCCTAGGCAGGCTGGATCCAGCTCCCCAGCCTCCTCAACCATCTTTTGGTTCCCATCACTCAGCTCTCCTTTCCTTGACTTCCCTGGGCACAGACTAGTTGAAGGTGGACAAAGGGTCACTTGGACATGAGATTGTATACACGCTGGAAAACCCACATCTACTCACAGTGGCACAGGAGACAGCCAGGGCCTAAAGCCATAGCCACTTTCTCAGGAGAGAATGAAGCAGTGGCTTTGCTTTGGGGTTCAGGAAGCCTCCCCTAGGTGAGGCTAAATGGGCACCAGCAGGCCACTGCTGCTTACTTGGGACCAGTCCCAATGGAAAGAGTGTCTGCTTCCCGGGAGTTGAGCAATAACAACTCCTGGCCGAGCTCCAGTCCCGAGCTGGTAGCTGTACTAATCTGTCTGTGACCAGGGGCCAACCTGCTCTGATTGGCTAGCTATACTCATGGACTGACCCCTGGGCACCCAACATTCAGCCCCGTTTGGAATGACAAACTTAGTGAAAAATGTGAGTTCCCCAAAGGAGTATCTGGGTGTTCCTGGAGGAGGTATAGGTGCTGGGTGGACCAACTCAAGATCAGGAGACTCTTCCAGAATTCTGGCTGCACCCAAGCCTTCCCTGAGAGCCCACGGCATCTGCTGCCCAAGTCCGTGTTATTTGTGGCCATCCTCTGTAGGCCTTCCTAAGGCATGGAATGCTTCTCGCTCATCTTTGGCCACTTAATCCTCCCCCTCGAAGGGTCTGGCCAGTGACTTGTGCATTACACTCACTCAGGAAGAATGTGCTGACGTTATGAAAGAATGAATGAGGAACTGTGCTGGGACTGGGCCCCAAACTTTTATTAACTGCAAGGTTAAAAGCTATCAAGGGTCAGGGGCACCACAAAGGGGCAAAGGGAGTGAGTCAATTAACACCTGCCTTTTTATTTCCAAATCGAATTGTTGCATGAGGTTTGGGGATGATGTAAGTGCTCGGCAGTGTTGGGGCAGGATTTATGAGCCAGGGTATCTGGAGCACGGTCTGAGCAGGCAGCTGGTGAGAGGCACTTACCCTAACTGCCCTCGCTTGGAAGTCTCCCGAAAATAATAGTTGTAAGACATGAAGGCACGCTGGCAGTTAAACACCCTTCCTTCTGTGCCCGGGGTGGATCTGAATTGAGTCACTGGTTTAGAAGGGTGTCCAGTTTACACCCAGCTTTGTACTGACAGGAATGGAGTAGAATGTTGGGATCGGAGAGGGAGTGGGAAGGCTGGGTAGGACATTAACTCAGTCTTGGGTCCCGGTAATGGGGACATGTTCTACTGGACCCATCTCAGGTTGGTTCACACTGGAGTAGGGGACACTGTTAGCCGGCGACACAGGGAGTCCATTAGTTAATGTCCATTCATTGTCTCCTACTTAAAATGAGCAGGATTAAGCTCTGCTGGAAGTTTCTGGAATGTGGCTGGCATAGTTGGGACTCACTGACTTGTATGGGGTACGAGAGGCAGGGAGAAAGGCAGCCTTCCCCTCCAGGCCTTCCCACCAGCTTGGGTCCGAATAATGAATTTTCGACTGGGTCATTAAATGCTGATTAAAGTACTAGAGGAAAGAACAGGAGGGGAAAACCAACATCAAGTGTTGTACATACATACATACTCCCACCCCGGCCCCCCTTCCCTTTTCTCAAGCTGCCTCGAAGTTCGTTCCAACCCTCCATTGGAAATGCTATAAAAGGCCAGGTTAATTAAGTCCTATATATTACCAGCACAAACACTTCCAACTTTATTCTGGCGGCTCTGTGAGTGAGGAGGAGGCCAGGCAAGGTCCAGGCAGCTCAGGGTAATAAAACAGAAGACTCAATTACCTTGTACATTTGCAGTTTTTATAAAATCATTTAAAGTTCTCCCAATGAAAATCACAGTGAAGAGGGATTGGAGTCCTGAAATCCAGAGGGAGCTCAAAGAACCAGAGACTTTGAGTGGCCATGGACAGCAGACTCGTCCTGGCCATTTCCCTACTTCCCTGGGTAGGGAAGCCTCCTCCCCAGGATGGGCTCAAAACAAAAAATAGAGGAAGGACAAAGAGAAGGGGACTCTTTAACCATGCATGCTACCCACTGGGTCTGGAGTACTGTTCTAGTGCTTAAGACAATCCATTGCAGTAGGTGTGATCCCCATTTGCAGATGAGGAAACTAAGGCAGCAGAATAAATCTCTGGTGTCCAACCAGGAGAGATCAACATCCCAAACCTGTGTGCCTCCTGTGTTATACTGCACAATTCCTGCTCCTCCTTTTAAGCTGTGAAGCCTGCTGTCTGCACATCATGGCTCCATGTTAAGAGAAGAGGCTCTGGAGCACATGGGTCTGGATTCAATTCCATCACTTCCTAGCTGGGTACCCTTGAGAAAACTACTTACACTTTCTGAGCCTTAAAGAAATTACCTTCCTCATCTGTGAAAACAACATCAGTCCCTTCCTCACAGCATTGTTAAGCAGATTAAATGGTACCATGTTGTATAAAATGCTCAGGCAAGAGTGTAGAATGTGGGTGTATTAGTTATTATTGTACCAGGTGCCTCTCCACTTGTCATGATCAGCTCATTACACTTTCCAGGGTGACAGCCAGTGAGCCAGCTGTGTGAACCATGCTCCTGTGCCAAAAACAGGGCAGAGAGGCTCTTACTCAGCACCCCAATGATGGAATTCACAAGTCAGTTCTCCCACTTCTGACAACTTCTTCCCTATGGAAGAATCTCATGTTTCCCATGGGATCAACAAAAACAAGAGCTACATATAAGTAAAAACAGGACTTCTTGTTTTCTTCTTCCATATATAGAAACTGTTCAATATACTTACTCTTTAAGAAATGGGATATAAAATTTTAATTCAATAACAGCCCCCAGAGGGAGAAATTTTTCTCTGGGCTGTAGCCACAGTGACCCAGAGCAATGTTCCCAGAAGGCTGGAGAGAATTGAGCCGAAAGTTCCCTCATCTTGATCAAATCTCTTAGGGCCTCAAGGGCAGAATCTGAGTGAAGGTGGGATCTGGAGGCTGTGCAGCTTTGGATGGAAAGGGAGGCAGCACTTAGCATGTGAATGGATGACACTACAACATCTTGGGCATATCTCAGGTCCCCCTGTTGGAGAGCTTCCTCTGGGTGAAGATGATGAGGCACACCATATTTTTAAAAGGGACCAAGTAACATTTCCAGTCATCCCTGATTTCCTAGAACCTTGACACTCCCTCATCAAGAAGTAGAGTCTATTTCCTTTACCCTTGAAATTGTAGCTACATCAGTAAGTGAAATGTAGTAAATGTGATGCTGCATAACCAACAAAGCTAAGTCATACAAAGTAACACAGCTTTCACCTGGCTCTCTTCCCCAGCTGCCATATTGTGAGGAAGCCAAAGCTACATGGAAAGGCCACATACTGATATTCTGGTCACAAGGCCCACCCAACAGCCAGTACAAACCACCAGATGCATATGAGATGCATCAGATGATTCAAATGATTCCAGCCCCTAGAGGCTTGGAACCTTCTTCCAACTTCTGCCTTGGAACCTTCCAGCGGAGGCCCAAGCATCATGGAACAGAGGTAAAGCAACTCCAATGTGCCCTATTGGAATTTCTAAACTCTCAGCAACCCAATACAGGAAGTTCAAGTTCCCCTTCACAATACAGGAAGTTCAAGTCCCCCTTCTTCTCACAGTTGGCCACAGAGTGTAAAACATAAGTGGTTGTTCATACCATTAAGTTTGAGGTAATTTTTAACTTAACCAGAATAGCCAACCATAGCCTTTATTGGCAGGTTCAGCTCTTGGGGGCTACCATGTAAGAGGGTCACAGACCAACTAAAGAAATTCCCAAGCATTGTGATCAGGGTGGAGGGGCCTGAAACTCTGGTCTAGATGGTGAAAGCTGGAGATGGGTATGGAGTGTGGACTCAGTCATGACTTTTCTACCCCTGAGGGTGGAGTGGGATTGCCCTGGGGTGGCAATATGCCTCAGAGGGAAAGGACAGGCTTCAGCATTAGGTGGTCCTGGGTTCCATCTTTCCTATCTCCTCTCTCACTATCTCATAGCTTGAATGAATCAGGCCATCTCTGTGGGCCTCCCAAGGGGATAACAATATCCTTCTTGCAGGATGCTTGTGCAGATTAAATAAGAATATAGGTGGCTTGCTTGACACAAAGACTCTTAATAGATATGCTCATAAAAGGTCCTTTGGCTACCAGTTCAAACTTGCAATAAAGAGGAAGTGTTGGTGAGAAAGGTGATACAGGACACATCTTCTGAGGTAAAGATGGGAAGAAGAACTGGCATGTGACTTACCTTATCTCAAGGTTTGAATGTGTAGAAAAGAGGCTTCAGGAGGTGACAGCAGATGGGAGTTTCAGCTTTATTAACAGCAACAATTGTCCAATGACTGCCAAAAGTAGGGCTGCACTGGAGCCTGGACTTTTCTCTAAGAGGAGATCTTGATTGATTGATTGTATCAAGTTTGAACACAGGGGTGCTTTAACCACTCAGCCACATCCCCAGCCCTCTTTTATTTTTTATTTTTACTTTGAGATAGTCTCTCTATGAGTTGCTCAGGCTGGTCTCGAATTTCAATCTTCCTACCTGAGCCTCCCGAGTCACTGGGATTACAGGCATGCACCACTGAGCCCAGCTAAGAGATCTTTAATTAATGATTCATGTTAATGGTTATGGGATTATTCAGACTTTCTATTCCTTTGTCAGTTTTGGTCACTTGTGTTTTTCTAGGACTTCTGCATTTTGTGTATTTTGTATATTCAAATGAATTGATATAAAGCCATCCAAATGTCTTTTTTTTTTAATTTTTTATTGTGGGTTGTTCAAAACATTACAAATTTCTTGACATATCATATTCCACACTTTGATTCAAGTGGGTTATGAACTCCCACCTTCACCCCATACACAGATTGCAGAATCACATCAGTTACACATCCATTGATTTACAAATTGCCATACTAGTGTCTGTTGTGCTCCACTGCCTTTCCCATCCTCCCCCCTCCCCCCTCCCCGCCTCTCCCCTCCCCTCCCCTCCTCTCTCTCTACCTCCTCCACTGTATAACCCTGAGGGTCTCCTTCCATTACCATGCAATTTCCCTTCTCTCTCCCTTTCCCTCCCACCTCTCATCCCTGTTAAATGTTAATCTTCTTCTCCTGCTCTTCGTCCCTACTCTGTTCTTAGTTACTCTCCTTATATCAAAGAAGACATTTGGCATTTGTTTTTTAGGGATTGGCTAGCTTCACTTAGCATAATCTGCTCTAATGCCATCCATTTCCCTGTAAATTCTATGATTTTGTCATTTTTTAATGCAGAGTAATACTCCATTGTGTATAAATGCCACATTTTTTTATCCATTCGTCTATTGATAATATCCAGAGTATACAAAGAACTCAAAAAATTAGACAATAAGAGAACAAACAACCCAATCAACAAATGGGCCAAGGACCTGAACAGATACTTCTCAGAGGAGGACATACAGTCAATCAACAAGTACATGAAAAAATGCTCAACATCTCTAGCTGTCAGAGAAATGCAAATCAAAACCACCCTAAGATACCATCTCACTCCAGTAAGATTGGCAGCCATTAGGAAGTCAAACAACAACAAGTGCTGGCGAGGATGTGGGGAAAAGGGTACACTTGTACATTGCTGGTGGGACTGCAGATTGGTGCAGCCAATTTGGAAAGCAGTATGGAGATTTCTTGGAAAGCTGGGAATGGAGCCACCATTTGACCCAGCTATTCCCCTTCTCGGTCTATTCCCTAAAGACCTAAAAAGAGCATGCTACAGGGACACTGCTACATCGATGTTCATAGCAGCACAGTTCACAATAGCAAGACTGTGGAACCAACCTAGATGCCCTTCAATAGACGAATGGATAAACAAAATGTGGCATTTATACCAAATGCCTTTTTAATCAGCCAGGAAGTTTACTTTTGTATCAGACCCCTAAAACAGTGCTGTGAGATCATGTCATGGTCTCTTTCCTACTGGTTGTAGAGGTGGTGCTCTGCCACCCGTTACAGCCCCAGCCACGATACCCCAGGCCTCCTAGGGCAGAGCGGAGGATGCATTGTGCACCTTGCTAGTTAGAAATTCTGCCCATGACTCATCCACAAAGTTCAAGGGAAAGCCAAGTTCTTATAGCCTCTTAAAGACAGCTTGGGCTAGACACAGTGGCACACTTATAATCCCAGCAACTTGAGAGGCTGAAACAGGAGGATCACAAGTTCAAGGCCAGCCTGGGCAACTTAGCAGGGCTCTGTCTCAAAATAAAATAAAAGTGGTTGGAGATGTAGTTCAGTGGTAGAGCAGCCCTGGGTCCAATCCCCAGTACTGCCAGAAAACAATTAAAAAAAAAAAAAAAAGACATCTCAAAGTGCCCCTGGATGATTAGGGCTTGGGGTGACCATCTCCCCCAACCCTTCAGTGGACAACTCCTTTTCCTTCTTTCCTTACTGGTTTCCCAAGCCCAGCAGACCCTGGGAACCCCACTTTGGCAGGTGGTCATGATGTTCACTCTCCTCTCTGTTGCTGGTTAATTCCTGCTGAGGACAAGCAGCATCTAGCAGGCTGGGCCAAAGGCTGGGATCTGGGTGAAGGGTTATCTGTTTGTGCCAGGGTGACCTCATGTGTGCAGACGCTGGATTGAGAACGGACAGAGTATTCTCTACAATGGTTCCAGTGAGGTGCCCACTTGGATGTCCTGTGCTGCTGGCCTGTCCCAGTGGGGTCACCTTCCTTCCTGATGGCTTCAGAGAAACCATAAAGAATGGGACTGTGGGTGGTATTCCTGAGTACTTCCCTCCCAGGGAGTCCCAGCTTGCCGTCCCCACCTCCATCTGCCTCGCCCATTGGGTCCTCCTCGCTACCCTGCAGCCCCTCCCGCCCTCAAAGAGCAGCCATGCGGAGCTCTGCCTCCCTCCAAGGGTGGCTGCCCGGGAGGGTCCTGGCAACATCGCCCTCCACCTGGACACCCCACTGAGGAGAACACAAGACACAAGCTGCTGCTAGGTCTGTCTGCCAGGGTCAAAGTCCCCACAGACTTAGTCAGGAAGGGGCCACTCAGCCAGCCCTGGAACCTGATGCTTGGGGGTAGGGGAGTGAGTGGGGTCCAAGCGGCACAAAAGGGGTTAAAGGAGCTGGTGGAAGATGGGAGCGCAGGGGCACAGCACTGCTGGAAAGCAGCTAGCCGGGTGCATGGCTAATTAGAACTGAGCATCAGTAAACAATGCCTTTTCCCCTCATTAAGGACAAATCTGTATGTATAATGTGCCTATTTTCTCTTTCATTAACTTATAAATGGCCACTACTTTAAAGCCATTTAACCAGCAGTTTTGACTTGCCCGTCAGCTCAGGGTCTGACAATCTTCTCACTTCTGAGGCTGACAGAGGTGGCCCCTCCGCACATGGTCCTCACAGGAAGAGGACATGTGGGTGCTCCTCTGAGACTCAAGGAGCTGCAGAACCTTCCAGAAAGGGATGCAAGGGGATGTGGGAGGACAGGCAAGGCCAGGTGCCCCAAGCAGGCCTTCTGCCCTGGACCCAGGTGATCCCCCACCAGCCCCTCCTCCTGGGCTTCTGATGATCACCCACGCTCTCTAAATTGCTCTTTCTGTGCCCTTGAGTAGCAGAGGACTCTGATTCTTCCTATAAAAGAGGAGCCTTGAGAATGTGCCCAATCTACACACATCCTCCAGGATGCCCAGCAACAATCTGGGACCAGAGATCCCAAAGGTGAGATATCACATCGGCCCTCACAAAGCTCACAGTCCAGTGGAGAGAGCAACATGCACACATAGGTAAGGAAATGAGGGGCCTGCCAAGTGAAGTCTGCACTAAAAGTTGGGAAGGCTTCCCAGGTGAGAGTATGCCTCTTCCATCAGTCTAGAAACTTCCTAGGAGTAAGTATGAGGTCTCCTTCATCAGGCTAGCACTTCAGAGGCTACTGACCAGTCCCTCCATGGGACTAAGAGATGCCCTGGCGGCAAAGCCTGGAGACCCCTGGGTTAGGAACAATTGCTCCTATGGGATCGGAAACTCCCATGAGGGAGGGATCTGTCCAAAAGCAGGGTTTATTTCCCTGTCCTTTTCTAGGTAGCCCCCAGGACCCTGGATAAAGATGAGCCCAGCCTTGAAGCAGCCTCCGTGTATTCCTGCCTCCTTCCTGGGTCCCAAAATGTTTACCAATCCTGTCCTAGGACTTAGGGGTAGAGATGGTGCCAAAGAGGAAAAGGACATAACCTTTGCCTGTAGGAGCACCCATAGGGAGCTTCCTGGTTTTGTAGTGCCACCGATACACACAAAGCAATAGTAAGACAAGAGAAAGATGAACACTTATGGAGGGCTCACTTTGTAGCAGCAAAAGGCATGTCCATTACCAGCTCTGTCAATCCACCTAAGTGCTCACAGTTGTGAGATGGATAATATTTTCCCTATTCTACAAATGAAGAACTAAACTTCCAGTAAAGCAATTTACTCAAGATCACGTAGCCAGTTGGTGGTAGAACTGGGAGTTAAACCTAATCTGTCTAGTTCCAAAACCTAAGCTCTTTCCACCACATCCAACTGTCATCTGGGATGAATTTTTTAAAATTTCATAAACAGCAGAAAAGAGGAAGAACATCGAGAATGGAGGTTCTGGCAGCTGTCAAACCTCAGATGCAGGAAAGATCTGGAGTGGCCAAAGATGTTCTGAAGATCTGATGGTGAAGCTGGGGAAAGCCCTACTTCTGGACCCCCTGCCCTGTACCCCCCCTGGACAGGAAAATTGAAGAATCCTCAAGCCTGGTGAGGAAGCATGCTCATAAATTCAGTTGTTCCTTAAAATACTACCTCTTGGTAGTATTTTAACATTAGATGGACTTCTGAGGGGTGCTAGGTTGTTCCACTGTTGGAAAATATGGACATCATGATCATTAGCCTTGTTATTAATTACAAATACTAGGAAACAAGGTGAAATTCCATTCACAAGGAAAAACAAGAGGGTCTATTCACATGCAGAATGCTATCTATACAGCTGTTAATGAAAATAGGTCCATGCAGGCTTGACATGGCTAAGTCTCCAAAATACACTGTCACGTGAAGAAAACACAACTTGCATGCATGATATTACTTATGGAAAAAGAGATATCTCCAAACAAAGAGCTTTCAAGGGCTACATATTGTACTTATGAGATCTGAAAAAATACACATCAAACTGATCACAGCAGTTACCTCTGGTTGGGGGTAGACATAACCAGATGGAAGGATCAAAGGGGACTCTGGTTTTCAAGGGGTGACCACCTGTCCAGGTTTGCCCAAGAGGCCTGTTTTCCCTGATGCAGGTGTGACTAATAATAGTGCTTGCTTTTCACTCTCAAAAGTGTTCTGTTTCAGTGATAAATTATATAATGGTCTTACTTATCTATGGTGTTAATTTTTTACAATAAGAACGCATTAATTCAACCCCGTGTCATTTCTGATAATGCATAATGTAGAAGGTAAAGTCCTCCTCCCGCCCTCCAGGCCCCGGACCCACTCCTCAGAGTCAGGCATGGTAACAGTTTCCTAGCATCCTTCTTGAAACTGTAAATCCATATCTAACCTCATCACCTTGACACACAGAGAAAGAGATATATGAAATTAGGCAGTACATACTGTTTCTAAACTTGCTTTTCTCACTTAATTTTGTCTCTGTCACGATTATTAGGAAAACCTGATTAATACGGATCCTCAGGTCCTACCAATAGAGTTGTAAATTCAGTGGATCACAGTGGGGTCCATAGATATATATTTCTGACAATCTTTCTTGGTGATTCAGGTGACACTACACTATGGATTCCACGTTGATCTTTGTCCACAAAACAATCATTCATTCATTTATTCAATAAGCAATTATGGATCCTTGCTCTGGGCTTGGCCTTAGAGATTCTTGGACTTCAACAGAGAACATATGCAGTCCCTGCCCTCCTGGGCACAGCCTCCTTCTCTTCCCTGTCATCACTGGTGGTTGGTTATAGAGGTCATGAGTATGGTACTGCAGCAAGAGCCAATCCTAGTGCACCTTGTCTGACTACATGACCTTGGGAAAGTACTTAGCCACTCTCTGCCTCAGTTACCTCATTTGTAGAATGGGCACAATAATCCTCACATCACATGATGGATGCTCAATAAATTGCAGTTACTATTAATAATAAATTAATTAGAAATAATAAATATATCTTAATAATAAAACTCATATAGTGTTCCTGACAAGTATGTTTAAACTAAGTCCAATCATGAGCAAATAATGAGACAAATTCTGAACTACAAATCCATAATACAAACATACTGGCACTCTTTGAAAACATCAGTCTCAGGCTAGGGCTGTAACTCAGTGATAGAGTGCTTGCCTAGCATGTGTGAGGCCCTGAGTTTGATCCCTAGCACTGAAAAAAAATGTGTATGTGCCAATATCACAAAAAGCAAATGTAAGAAACTTTTCTAGATTTTAAAACATGAAAGGGATATACAACCAAATTCAAAATGTTCTTCAAGTTTGGATTATTGATTTTAAAAATATATATCTATAAAGAACATTACCAAAATAACCAAGATATGAATATTAACTTACACAACACTGTAGCAATGTTAAATTTCTTTTTATTTATTTATTTTTTTAGGACACAATACCTTTATTTTACTTATCTATGTGGCACTGAGGATCTAAGCCAATGCCCCACGCATGCAAGGCAAGCGCACTACCACTGAGCCACAACTCTAGCCCTGCAATGTTAAATTTCTTGAGTGTGATAATTACACTATATAAATGCCCTCATTCTTAAGAGATATATGCTGAAACACTCAGAGATAAAGCGTTGCTGGGGCTAACATGCATGAAGCCCTGGATTAAATCCCCAGCACCATAAAGAGAGAGAAAAAGAGAGACAAAGGGTCATGCTGTCTATAAACAACTCTCAAATGGTTCAGAAAATTGCATGTGTAGGGATAGGGAGACAACAGAGAGAAAAGGAGAAAGATGGGAAGAAAGACAACAGAGAATTTGCAGCAAAATGTTAATAACTGATATATTAAGTGAACATGTGGGTATTCCTATTCTGTTCTTCCAATTTACTATATAGATTTGGAATTTTTAAATAAAAATTAGGAAAGGTGAAATTTAATGTTTTTTAAAAACAATATGCAAGATAGTGGTTGAATTGGGAGGGAGGAGTAACTTGGAGGGAGCTCTCTCAGGGTGTTGGGGACGCTGTATGTCCTGAACTGAATGTGTTTGTTTCAGTAGGATTTTTAAGCTGGACACTGAAGATCCTACTCCTTTTTGCTTGTATGTTATATGTCAATGATTATAAGTTTATTTAGAATGATTTTCATATTAAAGCATTCTCCACTACACCCTTCCCTCTGATCTAAGTCTTTGATGCAAGACAGCCTTGGCAAGAGTAGAAGCTGGAAGGAAGGCTGGGGTTAGGCTCCCCTTCCCTGACTGTTATGCCATCTCCAGGGGGAGGAGAGGAGGCCTGAGTCTGAGGACAGCTTGCCGGGGCCTGGCTCCTTGGGAGGACTCAAGCTGTGTCCAGGAGGGCTCTAGCCTGCTCCTCTGAGCCATGCCTGACTTCTGCTGTCAGGCCCTCAGGCAGGAGGTTAGCCTTGACTCCACACTGCTCTGGTCTCAGTGTTCCCCTCTTTGTCAGCTCTGTGGGCCCAGATGGATGTGGGATTAATGAGGCATCTCATCTGGTGTGAGAAGTAAGTCGAGGGGTCACATTTCCCACTCCTTGCCTTGTTCCCTGTGAGCTTGATCTGATCAGCCTCACTAGATGGAAACAGGGATGTAGTCACCTCTCTGTGTTTTACAGATTAATTGCTGGAGTCCTCAGCTGCCTCCATTGATAAACATGATAGCAACAGCTAACACATACATGGAGCTAGATATGTGCCCAGTCCTGTTCTAATGTATTTAATGTATATAATACAACAACTCTCTGAGGTAATATTTTTTACCCATTTTACATACAGGGAAACAGAGGTATACCCTCCAGCCTTCAAAATCATTTGCCTAAGCGGATTTGACTGCATAATTTGCAGGGCCCAGTATAAAATTAAAACATGAGGACCTTGTTCAAAACATATTAAGACTTTCAAGATACCAAACATCAAGCCAAGCATAAAGCCTATTTAAGGAGGGGGCCCTGTGAGACTACACAGGTCTGCATACCCACAGGCCAGACCTGTACATTACTTAAGTAGCAGTGGGAACTTGAACCCAAACAGTCTGACTGCAGAGTTTGTTCTCTTATCTACTGTGCAATATTACCTCTCTAACTCAACATTCTCCAAACTGTCCTGGAACCAGAGATACTTACTTGGTGCATCAGGACCTGTTCCATTTCTTAAAAGCCAGATGGACACAGGGTTGAACAGACTTAATTGTTGGCTGCTACAGCGGGTAACTGTTGAAAACTGGTCCCACACAGTTCAACACCTGCATAATCATAGTGCTGTTCCACACAGAAGGACACACAGAGCAAAGCACAACCAGAACTGCAGGGCTGGGAGGACCAGCCTCTCTAATAAACTTCTAAGTTGACTATTAACTCAGTTCACCAAATCTAACTCCCTAATTCCTGAGGGTGAGTTTCTTCTCTGGTGTGCTTTTATCCTTTCCTATCAAAGGATCTCAGAGGGGACCAACTTAGTTAACAGAAAGGCTCCCATTAACCTTAAACCCAAAACGAAAGGGTGAGTCAGGGTCTTGAGTTCAGTCTTCCCAGGAGGCTGCTGGTCCCTATGCAAATATCTTTACCTCCATAACCAGCTCCAAACATCAAAACCTTCTTTGGATATTTTTGTTGCACCCTTTCCTAGAGCAAATGCGTTTGCCTACTTACCTCATAACTGCATAATAAGAGGAGAGATGTTACTTATTTTCTAGAAAACCTAGTTTTGCCTAAGTGCTCCATCACACAGTTTAACACCATTGATAGATCAATGTCACACCCAGATACTTTCATAATGACATAGATGGCTTAAAAGGCATTGGATAATGAGACTTTAAAGGATGAAGAACTGGAGCTTTTGTGTGGATAGGAGGAGCTAAGCCAGTGACACTTGGCTTATCATTACCACTATAGCGTCACTTGTGCCCAGTAGTTGGCAATGCCCGGGAGTGCCTGGATTGCTCTCGGTACATGGGGCATCTCTGCAGGCACACTTAAGTCATCTCCATTTGAGAAATGTGTTCAGTTGCAGAAAACAGAATACCCAACCAACAGTGCCCTAAACAAATAGAGGTGTACTCTATTCACGTGACAGAAAGGTAGGACGGATACTGGCATTGATTTACCAGTTCTACAATGTCAGGGCTGATATTGCTGTAATTCTTTTGGTCTTTCTATCATAGTGGCCAATGGCTGCTGCAGCTCCAGCCTTCAAGTCTTCACTCAAGGGGGAAAAAAAGGCAAGAAGGGGCAGCACCTTTATAGGAAAAGAAAAGACTTCCTAGTGCCTCCAGAAGATTTCAGCTTACGCCTCATTGGGTTGAACAGGGTCACATGGCCTTCCCTAGCTGCAAGGGAATCTGAGATTTTATCTTGTTTGGGTCTAGGCACATTTTCACCAGGAACAAAATTGGAATGTTGAAACAAAGAAGGACACAAAGGTGCCACACCCTTCTGCCAGTAGTTCTCTCAGCGGCCCCTGTGCACCTTCCCAGCCACCCTGGAACCCTCACAGAGAGCCCCCGACACCTCTGTGGTCCTCCCAGTACCCCAGGCAAGAGGAGCCCACCCAGGGAGTCAGGATTTCCCCTGAGCTGGCAGGCACCACAGTCAGCTTTCTCCTGTGGTGATTAATGATGCTCCGCTGAGCCTGGGAAGAGGCGGCTAATTAGCTATAGACTGATTAAGGACAAAGTCCCAGACATAATAAACGTGAACTTTCCATCCTCCTCTCTCCCTCCCAACCCTGCCACCACCAGTAGAAACCAAGCCTGAAGTGCCCCTCACAGTCTGCCCACCTGGGGAGACCTGGCAGTGTCCCCCACATCACAGTTCCCGTGGCCTGGCACAACCAGGGCATGGTGGCAGAAGCGGGCCTACCGGGGTCTTCTTTCAGGGCTGATAGCCCTTCCAGCATTTTCCAAACTCTTTGCTCTAGACCAGGCATGGTTAGACCCAAACAAACTGAGTCTCTGCCCTAAAGTATCCGCAGCTGAGGGCTACAGAAATCCAGGAAAGGCTGAGAACAGCATGACCTGGGGTTACTGGACAGGGTTCCATGCAGGGACTTGGTGAGTGGAGACGCGGCCCTGGAGAAAAGGGTGGCCACCTACAAAGGTGTGGAGGAGAAATGAGCAGAGCACAGTGGTGACTGGTGGGCAGTAGTGAGTGTGGGTGGGGCAAAGGGGTGGGGAGAGGTAAGGACAGATGAGAAACAGGAGGCTTAGTGGTGATGCAGCCCAGTTGCTTCCAGCCCCACTTGTCCCACAACAACTGGCATCCAAATACAAGACACCCCTGGTGACCCACTCTACCTCCAGCTAGGACACTTCACCTGTATCTCCCACACCAGAAAGTATACCCAGGTGCAAATGAAGCCATCCTACAGCCACCCCTGCTAAGGATGGATGAAAATGAGCCCTCTGACACACGAATCTTGTACAAGATAAGGCTGTGATAAGGACAGAGGATACACTTTAGCCACAGATAACAGGAGAAATTCAATGAGCATGACTTCTCAGGTTCTCTCGTTTCCTCCAAGGAGATATTTACAGGGGACAAAGGTGAAGGCCTGTCCAGGCCTGACTTGGGAAGCAAGCCTTCCACCTTGCCTGGCTCATCTTTTCCATTCCTTGAGTCTCAGCTCAAGTGCCACTTCTTTGGGAAGCTTTCCCTGACTCCCCAGATTAGATCAGATTTTCTGTATTTCCCTTTGAGAAGTGCATCATAGTTTATACTAGTGCATTTAAGTGATTGTGTATCTTCACAATGATGTATTCAACCAGCAAATATTAATGGAGCCACAAAATGTGCTAAGTTATGGGGACACAATGAGATGTGCTCTCATAGAACATATTGTCTATAAGTCCTGTGGCACCTAAGCAAGCATGTACCTTAATGCCAAAAGCGAGGCTTCCCCCAGCCCCAGGAGAACACTAGGACAACTCAGGCATTAATGCCATGCCAGTAGGAAACCACACCCCACAAGCGCCTTCAAGTGCAGTTGCTCAGTTTGCCCATGACATAAGGGGCTTCAGGACATTCTGGGGTGTGTTGCCCATACTCTTCCTGCAGAGCTGAGACACTGGCTCCTCTAGCTGCAAGGAGTGTCAGCTATTAACAGTTGGTAGCTAAGTTCCTCTCTAGGAATTGTCCTCAGTCAAAGAGAGGCACATTATTCCCCACAGCAGCTCCCAACCAATGCCGATGCCGGGGCATTTGAGATGACAAAGGCCTGCCCCACCTCCAAACCAGGGCATTTTGGCATAATCGTTCCAGCTTCAGAGCTTCCTGTGGGCTTGCTCAACTTCTCCCTCTGCGGTCCTGCTTCTGCCACCCCAGTACAGGGGTAGCTCCTGAGAGCATTCCCCAGTGAGACTTCTGCATGCAAATTTCAAATGTCAGAGTCTCTTTCTTAAAGAACTTGACCAAGGAACAAGTAGGAGTTGAATCTACCCAGATGTGTGACTGCCTCAGTCTAGGGGAAAGGACTCCTTTTCTAAGCTGCATGACTTAATAGCCCAGCCCAGCCCAGCACCCCCATCCTACCTGAGAGGTGAACGAGGAATCCAAGCCAGTGCCACAAAGGCCTTGGCAAGGACCTGGGGAAGGAACCAAATCTTGCAGCTAAGTGAGTTAGAAGACTCCAGAGAAGACAATATCTAGGATAAGAAGCCCACCATCCCCTGGAGTCTGATTTCAGCTGATTTAACAGGTCTCCAGGGACTTTATTTCAGTAAGACAACCAGGAAATTCTTCATCTCTATGCTGAGGATTCCCAACATGTGAAAGGGTCAAACCAGCCACCAGCATCCTAATCCAGGCCCAGTGTGTGGGAGAACTTGCCCGGGTAGGTGCAGAGGGGTGGTGGAGGCAGTAGGAAGGAACGAGGCTTGCACAAACTTAGTAATTGAAATCATTAATAGCAGTAAAATAAGTTGTCCATCCTACATGTAATTTGTAGTAATGTTTGGTTACTGAGATTAATTTCTGGTAATGAAATACTAATTAAACCATTTATTGAGTAATGTATTTGCTTGGTGGTATTTTATGGGTGTTCACTTATAAATATTTTAATTACTTTTGCTAAGTAATTAGAATTTACTAAATAATTTCCAAACTATTTATTAATTTCTAGCAATTCTCAGCCAACCAACAAGTAATTGTTTTACTTTATATCAGTAATTAAAGTCTTTAAAAAAAAAAAACTTGGAAGAGAAGAGAAGTTTTGAAGACCTGGCTATTCTATGCACACAAAATTGGGTGTGTTAAAGCCAAAAAAGACATAAAATCACTGTTGATCCAATATTATTCGAACACTGTTAAATTTTTTAACTTATATTTTTACGGATGTCTTTTATGGGTGCATGTACAATTTTTTCAAAATTGAGATACCAGCTACATGCTTTCTGGTCAACAAACTATGCCAATTTTTTGTGTCAACTTTCTATTCTATTCATGCCAAGAGACTAGGGTGTAACTCAGTGGTATGGCAAGTACTTAGCATACTCAAGGTCCCCAGCACCCAATAAATTAACACATCAGCCAAGCCATCCTAGAAAAAATGCTTTCTTTAACAGTTTAAGAGGTTTTCTGGAAGCAATACTTTTTCCACCTCTACTTACCCACTGTGTACCAGATACTATGCAAAGTAATGTGCACAGGCTACCTATGATCATCACAACATGGGACTGTAAACCACTCTGTGGCAATAACCTGTGTGCCATCAGGCCTCCACAGGGCCCATCGCAGTGTGAAACCACATAGGTGAAATAACAGTTTGGGATGGAAAAAAAAAACTGAAATAAATGTAGATCTATTTTTTATCTATGAAAATAAGATTTTAATGAATATATTGTTCTGTAGTTCAGGTTCTCATTTATAACCATATTTTCATATCAATAAATATTAAAGAGCAGCAGCATCCTTACAGTAGTGCATGGTATTCCATGAAGTGACCTCCATTTATTATCCAATCTCTAATTACTGGATATTTTGCTTGTTTTAGCTGTTCACTGTGGTGAACAAAACTATAATGAAAGTCACTGTGCATAGATCTTTG